CGAGAAATTAGTATTGACGCACGTCACGCTGAACTCGAGGCCGGCCACCGATCAGCTGTTTTGAAATATTATTTGCTCGCTTTGTCCCGGGGTATGCTTCGCGCACCGAGTCCTCGAGACAAAGGAGCGAGTAAATATAGGCCACAGTGGAACTCTGTTTTTCTGCCCTTCAAGTGTATACTAGGAAATATACAGATATTTCTGCGAATTTGGTCGACTTTACTCTGAAAGGCAGAAAAACCGAAATTATTTCGAAATAGCGATTTTCTTAGATTCGTGGTGTAGATTCGCCGACGCTGGTTTTTGTTCGATCGCGAACAATATGTATCTAATTATTATGTGTATGTTTATAATTGTCTGATGACAAATAATAACAGTAGCATAATTGAGAATGTGAATTAGTATACATAGTATATGTATTGACGCGGGTACTTATTAGACTTGGCAATTTACTGCATCTCTTGCACCTCTAATAATTTTTTTCTTGTAATGTAAATGAATGATGTAAAACTCTTTTAAAGGATCTATCCGTTCTTGATGGGGGTAAAATAATAACTTTTATAACAAATGCAATAAATATTAAATTTATAATATTGATTTATATAACTAATTTTATTCTGTCTTTATATAGAAAAATATACCTCAGTCTTAGCATCAGAGTAGAGGGTAACGGCTGATGAACAGTATATATAGATAACAAAACTGAATAAAATTCTTAATTATTATAACATAATCCCAGTAAACCAGTTTGTAACTGTTATGTAACTTAGGGAGCACATGGAAAGAACAACTCTTTATTAGTACCTATACTTTACTCCTGTAAAAAAATTTTGCGATCTATAAAGCCGTTTCAAAGAACAAACTTTGACAGATATATGTCGTACAGATGCCTCGTTAGACAAGGACAGATATCTCTCGTATTATTCCTTTCTCTCCTATGTATGTAATTTGCATGCACCCATTTATTCCTCTTTCTCTTTCTCTCTTTCTGTCTCTCTCCATCCCTGTCCCTCTCTCTCTTAGTACACTGGGTAGCGTACACTTAGTATGGTAAAATCAGGATTTTTTGGAAGTGTGGTGTTAGGATTCTAGGGTATATTTGAAGAAAGAAAAACGATAATGTTATTTAGGACAAGAAACTCTATTTATTATTTCGTTGATAAAATGTTGGGAAATATAAACGAAAATACATATATAAATAAAATATATTATGATATATTATTTTTTTTATTGTTACTGTCGAAAGTAAATAATATTACATAAAACCAGTAATGCAATTCAACATAGATATACATACACACGCACACGCATACGCAATCGCACATACATATGCATACGCACATACATATTATTTTTATTATTTTTTCTGTGGGCCCCAGGCCCCGTCCACGATGACGATATCACGGACATGGGACGTCTCCAGGATCATGCTCCAATTACTTTGTACTAACAATAAGAATAATTCTGCATACTTTTTTTATTTTGTGCCTTTATATCATATGTATTTTTCAAGCATATAATAGCAACCTCGCAAAAGATGTCTTTTTTTATTTCAATTTCTGTTTCAAAAAGAATGTTTTTTATATATATATATATTTGCTTGTTATATATAGTAATATATGTATTATATATAGTGATATATAGTGTTATATATAGTGATTGAGATACGCGAGAACGCGCATAAACGTGCAGTTTACGCCGAAGTGGCTGTTCGCGAGCGATATGTTTCGTCGACGGATGATTAGCTAATTATGATTGTATACAGAATACTGGATATTTGCGTAAAGTATCGTTGCCTCGCGAATAAAGTCGAAGGACCGTCGAGAAGAGGAAGCTCGCGGTGCTTTCATTTCCCTTCCGAGTGCGTTTCAATCTTTTATCCGTTTTCGCTCTCGTCTTCGTTTCCATTGCCAGTATGCGACAACCGTTACTGCACTCCATGAAGGGTATCATTGCATGATTTTTCGAATAATACATAAGCAAAAGAGATGTCTTTCTTTGTGCTTAGAAATCCAAAAAGATTATTTTGAGAATCATAAAGAAATTGTATTTTGTTACTGTCTAATCGTTTTTATACATTTATAAGTTTACAAGTATACATAGGACTTGAAAAGAAAGGAAAAAGGTAATCGTCGCGTTTTTTTTCACAGAGACGGGCAAACGTGAAACTGTGTTATTCACGTTGCCCGACTAAATCAAACTCGGATGCTACAAGTATCTAGTGTTTATCCAGCGGGACTTTTAGGATGCCGCGAATGCTGATATCAAGAATAATTATGATTTATCTTATCTATGCCCGTTTCTACCAACGCGGTTTAAACGTTAATCCCTAGTGACATTCGGTTAATCGAAGTTTGCCAAAAATATTGGTTTCTACCAATGATAAATTCACGTTTAAACGCACGTAAATCCAGTTTAATTTAAACGATCAATATTGACCGTTTAGCATTGTTAAACTACGGTTAAAAAATATAACTAGCTAGTTCTGCAGACAAAAATTGTGTGATAAGGTTATATGTAAGGTTATTAATGAGGTTATATATTGGATATATATATTGGATAAAGTAAATATATTAATTGAGGTAAATATAAAGTAAATAAAAAAGTAATAATAATAATAAAATTGATGTAAACATTTTTCATGATACAGAAATTTTCATAATTTATAATATAGAAGTTATACGTAGGAAATATGATGCCCCAGCATTTACTAAACTTGTTGTTTTCTGATGATGAAGATATTGTGAATGTGAGACCGATCAGAAGAAGGAAAAGATTTAAACATCGCATTAATTATTTGGAAGAGCTTGATGACATCGAATTCATAATGCGATTTCGAATAAGTAAAAGATCTGTGTTATCAGTGTTACAACACATAAGAGAAGAATTAGAATTTGCAACAAATAAGTAAGTAGAAACTATTTTATAATTGCAAATATAAATTCTAGTAAACGTAAAGGTAATACAATAATTTCTTTTTAGAAATAAAGCGATATCTCCCATGATACAATTGTTATTGACGCTTCGTGTATATGCCACTGGATCATTTCTTATATCTGCTGGAAATTTCTCAGGTGTGAGCACAACTTCAGCACATTATATTGTACACAGAGTCAGTAGAACCATTGCTAGATTACGACCTCTTTATATTCATTTTCCAAACACGGAAGAAGAAATAAGAAAGGAACAACAACAATTCTATAAAATTGCGCGTTTCCCAAGAGTGATAGGATGCATAGATTGCACACATATCCGTGTCCAATCATTTGGTAAATTATTGCTATATAAAATACTATTATATTATTTACATTGATTTGCCTACTATATAATTATTACTACATGTTCTTTTATTTTGATTATTGTAGGTGGAGAAGATGCTGAGTTATTTCGTAATAGAAAAGGATACTTTTCCATAAATACGCAAGCAACATGTAACAGCAATTTACAAATAACAGATATAGTTGCTCGTTGGCAAGGTTCTGTGCACGATAGTACAATTTTTAATAATAGTCGCTTGAGAGCAAATTTTGAGAATGCCGCATATGGTAACGGTTTTTTGTTAGGAGATTCCGCATATCCTTCGAAGCGGTATCTTCTAACTCCACTGATAACGCCACAAACTGCTGCAGAACGACTCTATAATGAATCACATATTCGTACCCGCAATATAATAGAACGTCTATTTGGTGTTTGGAAAAGAAGATTTCCAATTCTAGCATTGGGAATGCGATATCACTTACAAAGAGTCATGCCTATTATTATTGCAACAGCAGTGCTTCACAATATTGCTAGACAAAATAATGACCCACAACCAGATGACGATCCAAATTTAGATTTACCATGGGATCATATGCTAGCCGAATGCAACATTAACCAGAGAATCAATAATGACGAAGTTGCTGGTGCAACAGTAAGAACAGAACTGATTCATACTTATTTTGCTAAGTATGTTTGTTTACAAATATTTTCATATAGTATATTAAAATTTTGTATTTCTATTAGATTGTATGAGTATGTATGTGTTCGCACGCTGATGTATGTACGTGTGTGCATAAATTATATATAATTCAAAAGTTTTAACTTTATAAATTACCCTATATAAATTATAATAATTTTATAAAATATCTCTATTATTATAAGAAATATATTTTTTCCAGCATTAGAGTATAATAAAGTGAGGAAACAATACATCTACCCTGAAACGTTTCACAATTAACACACATGAATGAAAGACATCTAAAAAGTCAAAGAAACTTTCTATCCTTTTGCATATGTGTAGAGTATAAACTGCATAAGGATATCGAACAGGAAATGCGAAAACCTAAAAATATATTTAGATATTTAGTGATATATTTGTCTCATTTCTGTTTTATTTTTATGTGCATATTAAGGAAATTCCAAATTTAAATAATATTGATGTTTGTAACACTTTTTTTATTTGAATAAGATACAGTTTAAAGTTACATTGCACATATATTATATACGTTTTTTACTTATACATAATAAAGTATATTATCAAGAAAATATCTTCCTCTTCTCTGTCTCTCTCTCTCTAAGCACTCATGTATTATTTTATAAGTACTTTGTATTACACTGAACAAAAATAATAAAACTAATATCTTATTTTGCAGTAAAAACAAAACATAAATTGAACTTCTTGTAAAAAAAGAAACAGTTCTTATATATAACGTAACTGTGTATTAGACTAATCGAACAAAAATAAAATCAATATATTATTTTGCAGTAAGAACAAAACATAAATTAAACTTTTTGTAAAAAAAGAAACAGTTCTTATATATGTAACGTAGCTTTGTATTAGACTGATCGAACAAAAATAAAATTAATATATTATTTAGAAGTAAGAACAAAACATAAATTAAATTAACTAATTTTCATTTTTAATATATTTTATAACTTATTTATATATCATCAGTCTTTTTGATCAGTCTTTCAATACTATCTCACTGTTTAGTTCAACGAATTAAAAATAAAATTTGTTTCTATGAAACGTTAAATGACTTGTTTTGTTGCACCTCTCTTTGTAATCTATGCTCCTGTAATAACAACTCTTTTTCTAATATCTGTACTTCTAATTGTTCTTTCTTCAATCGCGTACTTAAAATTTGCATCTCTATTTCACGTTTTGCTTTAAAACCGTCTGTCATACATTCTGTAAGCTTGATCTTTGAATCTGTTAACATGTCAAATTGTGACATTCTTGAAGTAATAGTTTCTTCTTTTTTCTTATATGGTTTATTGTCTTGTCTATTAAGTTTCCTAGATTTATATTGATCATTTAAAACATTGCTTTTTACTTGAAGTGGAGTACTTATTTTTCGTTTTAATATTTGTACTGCGGATGTGTTCTGTACGTCTTGCTTTTCTGGTTTTTTTATATTTTGTATATTGCTCTTCTTAAGACAATGTTGTGTATTATTCTCTCTCATAAACTGCAACAAAAAGGTATATAAATACAAAGATAAATAATGTAACGTACACTTCTATGCACATAAAAATTTTGTTCAGACTTACAACCGAGCTATTTCCATTAACATCTGATACACTATCGTTTCCAATTATGTCATTTTCCTTATCGTAGTTTGTCATTTCATGTCCATCTGATACATTATCAAATGAATTTTGTCTCATAGCACCAGCATTTTCTTGTAAGTACTACAAATTTATATTAATTTGTATTTAATACATTTGAGCAACAGATATATATATATATATATATAATATACAATATAATATATTTTAATATTTATTACATCTCTTACAAGTAGAACATCATCTTGATCATTGTCATTGTCATCAACTGGAAGCCACTCGTCCATTTCAATAGAATCTGATGACGTCTCGCATGAATTTGTCTTTGTAGGTATCTTGCATGCATTTGTACTTTGATCTGTATAAACATCTGTATAATATACATAAATATAATTTAACATATTTTCAGCTTTTTCACATATTACTAGCTAGCAAAAGTTACAATATCGTTCATTTTAATGAGCTTTAAAATAAGAAAGAATCGTAACATTGCTTTATACTGTGCATATATTTTATACGTATATATTTTACCTTCTATAGCATCACAATCATAATCACTTTTAATACCTTCAACAGAAGGTTTAATAATGTCTCGTACACGTTCCAGCACTACATCTGTTTGGGATTCACAAGGTCCTCCACCTAGTTTTTCAATCATAACTTTTATTACAATATACATTATACTTACTTATTACTTGTAAACAATTATATACTTCTACAAATTATGAAATAATTATTTTGATATGTAATATCTCTATAGTTTTACACCAAAATATCAACCAACATTTTACTTGCCTGTTTTATATAATTGTATCCTTTCATCAGCGAAAAATTTTCGTGTCTTTTTTTTAAGATTCTCCCAACAACTTTTGAGGACTTCCGCACTTCTAAATTCAGTTGAAGAAGATGTACTATTGTAATTATTTTCTATTACCTTCCAACACTTTTCTTTATCTTTTGAGGTTACTCCGTCAGTTCTTTTATTTTCTATTATATTTTTATACTTCAATACTATTTCTGTTAAAATTAGTTTTTCCTTTTCGGAAAAATTTTGGGCACGTTTCCGTTGCACACTTAATTTTGCTGCATTCATTTTATTAATTATACACTTCTTCGTTTGACAAGATATGATTCTCCTAACCTAATAATCCTAAACCACAGTAATCACAGTTCCGTTAGAACGATTATTGGACCAATCAACGTTCTACATTCTAATGCTTTCAGAGTTATATCAAACATGTTATAAGTTTAGCTAAACGTTCCGGATAGTTTACTCGTAGAAACCAATCAATATTAAACTGAAAGTTAATTTTAACCAAAGTTTCACTAAACCGTAGTTAACCACAAATTGGTAGAAACGGGCATTAGTGGAGTACGTACATCTTTTCGGAAACGAAGACGATGACGACGATGCTGATCAAACGAACGCTTCCGTTCTTGTCCCAAAATTGTTTTCGTTTTCTCTTGTAGCGAACGTTTCGAGGAATTTGCTTACGACGGTTCGTTAGCATATGTCTCGCGGTAATTAACTTCTTCTTCGTCTGGTTATTGGCACTAGCAAAAATCACCTTCTCGGCGTGCAACGGCCATTATTCAATTCGTTCGTAGACTCGCAAACTCATAGTAAGACTTCAGACTCGAGAATGTGTAAATGTATGTGTGTATGTGTAATTGTACGTGTATGTCCGCGGTGTCTTGAACTCGGTAATGCCGTAGGTGCGTTAGGCCCAAGGAACTGCGCGGATCACTTCCCCCTGCGGCCTCGCGGTAATTAACAATTATACGGAGCCGTCATATTTTCCACAACGCGTAGGGAAAAAATTAAATGGTTTCTAATATGTATTCGGAGAATGTTGATTCATCATATTATTCTTTCAAACTTGCTTGCCTCCTTTTGAAAATTTACACCAAGAGAAACTTTTGTTACATATTACTTTATATTGATTTTTTTTAACATCTCTATTTCTTAAAAAGGAAACAAAAACCGTAGAAGAAAATTATTAAACTTATCTTTATCGTGTTGGGAATTCATCCAATATTTTATCGCTACGTGTCTCAACTTCTCTTGTTCAAAACAAAAAACTAATTTATAGCTTTTGATTTTACATATAATTGCTAAATTTCAGTTTTGTCACATGCGATTTGTGCGAGCTTATTTCGTGGAGCAAATATTTTGTTGCGTTTTCGAGAAAGTGTTCATCCGATCATTAGCGAAGCGACGCGATGCATTTATATTCGATCACGAGAGACTATGCGCAAATTTTTGCATTGTTTGCGGATTTTATAACTTTATTGACGAATATAAGATCTAAGATCTTTCGCATAATTGATTTACGATTAAACTCGCGCTTATTGAGGCTCAGATGTACACCCGTCTGTATCACATCAATAAAAATCTGGCAGCAAAACGTGTATATGAATTCATTTGTTTAGCAAAGGATGCGCGTTGATCTTAGAAGCGCACGTTGGAAGGAAGCGCACGTTCCTCCGTTCATCCGGAGGAAAAAAACTTTGTCGCGTTTTTTTAATATTTCTGATTCTCAAAATAAATTCTTCG